TGTAGCTTTTTCTAAACATGATATGACTCTGATAGAAAGGTGTGTGACATCATCAGACTCTAATCTAAACACTCTGGAAGAAAACATGTGGTGTTTCTTGTTAAAGTCAAGTTTCAAGAATGCTCCTAATGCAATAGTTCTGAAGAATGTGTATACTAGAGCTTCTGATCATGACTTTGTGTGTAAAGCCTTGAAGGCTTTCTAAGAGATGTACTTCTATCGCTCTAAAATTCTGAAGTTTCTGAAGACGAGGTTTTGTTCAACAAGTTCTGAAGATTCTAAATATATCTTTTATATTTCTCTAATGTTCTGAAGTTTTTGAAGACAAGGTTCTACTTAATAAGTTTTAAAGATATCATTTCTATTGCTATAAGCTCTGAAGATTCTAAAGTCAAGGTTCTATTGAACGAGTTTTGAAGTTTCTAAAGACATCATTCCTATCGCTACAAGTTCTGAAGATTCTGAAGACAAGGTTCTGTTAAACGAGTTTTGAAGTTCTAAAGACATCATTTCTATTGCAACAAAGTTCTGAAGTTTCTGAAGACAAAGTTCTGTTGAATGAAGTTCTGAAGATTCTGAAGACAAGTATGTGTTGAACAAGTTCTGAAGATTCTAAAGACGAGGTTTTGTTGAACAAGCTCTAAAGTTTATGAATACATCACTTCTAAAGACCAAGTGTTGAAGACTCTTAAGACAAGGTTCTGCTGAACGAAGATCTGAGACTCTGAAGACTTAGGTTCTAAAGTTACAAGTATTAATCCTTCTACAACATGCTTCATCAAATATACATCTGAAGCCTCTGAAGAACTAGAAGATAAAAGATCAATAATGGTTGGATAATATGTTGAATATAAAAGTACAAATTAATATGTGACCTCTACCTCGATAAGGTGGCGCAAAGACATCTTTTTGTATTATGATGTGACCATTCCCTCAAGTGAATGTTGGGAAATTACAGTTGGAATTTTTTTCCATTTATACCCTTCAAAGGATCTATTATCAATATATTGAAGATCTGAATGCTTGAAGAAATGTGACGGAAAGCGATGAGAGAGAGAGAGAGAGAGAGAGAGAGAGAGAGAGAGAGAGAGAGAGAGAGAGAGAGAGAGAGAGAGAGAGAGAGAGAGAGAGAGAGAGAGAGAGAGAGAGAGAGAGAGAGAGAAGATGTGTTGTAGAGCCAAAGAGAAGAAATATGAGTTCATCCAAAAATAAGAATAGAAAGAGTTGAAGAAAACATGAGAGTATGTGTGCAAAGCTGAAGCAAAACACCAAACCATAAGCTCAAAACAAGATGCCCGATGCTCAAACAAAAGATAGAGCGTTGCTCTACAAGAAAATGAGAGAAGCATTAAAAGAAGCTTTTAAGCAACAAAACTCATGTTGATGTGATGTAAATCTCTTGGAGATTATTCTTAAGATAGTTTTGTATATTAGCAAGTAATTGTTGTTCATATCTTGCTAGAAACACTTTTGTGTTTGATGTACTTAAATTTGTGTAATCTGTTTATTTAGAAGCAATTCCTTATATACACATTTGTAACACTTTTCAAAGTGGTTATTCCTCAAGTGACTAAGTCGTTAGTCTGGATACTTGAAAGGACTGAGTTATTTTCTAACACTTAGAGGTTTAATCTTTCTAGATTATTGGATTAAGTCTTTGTCTAAGGCGAAATCACCTTGGTGGGTGGACTGGAGTAACTTTGTTAACAGTGAACCAAAATAAAAATAAATGTGTCTATTTATTTTTATTTTCTTTTTAAAATTCGAGTTTGAATTATGAGAAAATATCATATTTGGGGAAACCCAATTCACCCCCCCCCCCCCCTTCTTGTGTTTCTCGCCCATTCAAACATAAGTCTCGAGCTTGGGATAAGCAGGAAAATGGGTTATTCTTGAATACGTGATTATTCACCACAATCACTACGTGATTATACTCATCAATCACATTATCATAACATGTTTCCTTATAAAACTCATTAGCTCGCAATTAGGCTCTCGTCCCTATTTATTCCATTCGGCCATTCCGTAGATGGAACGATTCATCTCAAGTGACTACTTGCTCATGGGTACATACCAAGGTACCTATGATGTTCGAGTATCACCACCTAAGTTATTTATCATAACCTAGTCATATTTGTTAATATTATTCACATATTTATGATCCTAGGTTTAATCTCACTCATCATAATAATATTAGATCAATTATTGTTCATTCTAAATCATTACAATTTATCATACCATTAACTGTCTAATCACAAAAACATAGCATATCATATGGAAGGAATCACACAAGTACTCCACCTATGATTTATCCTCACATGTTCTTCAATTAACTTGCTAATTAAGTATTAGGCGAAGCTTCTATGGAACTTGCTTCAGCCTAAGCTAATTCATTTACACGCCATATAGTAAGCGCGTGTCTGATCATCCTATGGTGGGGTTAACTGGATCAAACTGGGAATTAGACTATAATAAGAACATAAAATCTTCACTATGTTATAGGTCTCTTCATTAGCTTTTCAACGCATCCGAACACGTCTCATTTCGAGTTACGAAATTGTAGTTGTGACAAAATTAGTGCTTTGAATACAACCTGTCTTCCATATTCGAATCAAGTGTAAATTGTGATTCGAATCAATTCAGGCAGTGTCTAACCAGAAGGGTCTGATTCAAATCAGAAATTGTAGTGTATATCTCTGATTCGAATCAAATCAGTTAGAATTGCATTTCTACAGAATTTTGCTTCCTGATTCAAATCAAATCTTGTAAATTTTAGATTTTCACTTGTTATTCATGTTTTTCTTAATCCAAAGACATAGTAACTCGCATTGTCATACCATGAATTTCATCCCTTCTTAACATCATTATTCTCTAACCATACCAACACAACTCACATGATCAACGTATCATGAAAACAAGAAGAAGAAAAAACAGCAACAACAATAACAACATAGTTTCATCATATTTTTCCGCAACAACAATACAACATCAACTTCATGGATTAAAAACAACAACACAACAAGATATCATTCCTAAAAGAAACAACAACAACAACAACAACAACAACAACAACAACAACAACAACATTTTTTTAACATATTCTCATAACATCAATCTAACAACAACACAACAACATAACTTAACATACAACACCAACACAATATATCATCATGGTTTAATTATAATAGCACAAGACATAGCAAGACTTTTATTTCAATTATCAATTCACAACCAAGTAAACATTTAGCAAAATCCTAAACCTAATTTCATGCAAAATTCTCCCAAAAGACTATATTAACTAAGAACTCACCTCATGGAAAGAAGAAGATGAAGAATTTGAGATAATATAAGGTGAAATTCGCTTTCCAATTCTTGCTCCGAGCTCTTCTTTTTTTCTCCATGAGTTTTCTTCTTCTTCTTTTCCTCTTCTTCCTTTCCTTCTTCTCTTCTCTCTTTACTTTCTTTCTCATTTCTTACTAACTTTGAAAAAATGAAGAAACAGAAGTGTTGGTAGAGGTTATGGAGAAAACTTGTTTTACTTCTAGTGGCAACCTAGAGACAATGACCATACTATCCTAGCCAAAATTTCAAAATTTTCTAAAATGTCAATCTTCACAATTACCAAATTGTCTTCTCTTCCTACTTAGTAAGGATTAAGAGAATTTATTACTAATTAGTCTCATCTGAGCTCACTAGTTACTCAATTTATCCCAATTAATAAAGAATAGAGCATTTAAGAGGGTATGAAATATTACAATTTTGCTCTCCCAACACTAAAATAATTTTAAGTGTATAAGAAGTATCTTATGAAGAGAGTGATTAAGAGAGAATAGTAATATTTAAGAATTCTGTGAACAAAAATCCTCCTTATGGACTAAAAAAATTGGCAAAAAAGAAAGAAATTTTGGGCCAGAATCACTTTCCAATCGATTAGTCTGCGCAGTAATCGATCATAACCTTACATTTAGGAAATAAAATGCCAGATCTAGAGCCTAATCTATTAAAAGACTTCTTTATTGATTATATGACAAGTTCTTCCTAAAATCGGTTAGACAAATGTTATAATTGATTACATAGAGCTTATTTGCTTCATCATTGATTAAGTACACTTCTTAATCGATTAGTTTTAAGTCAAAAACATTTTGAAAATATATAAAGTTTTAGAAAAAGATTTAAGTGTGTGTATGTTTGCATTACATTAATACTTTGAGATATCCTTACAATTATTTCAAACTAATGATTGTAAACAAATAAAAACAAGATACCGGATTACATGCGAGTTTGCATAAACTTCAGTTTATTTGATGTTGTTCTTAGTATTAATTCTCTTGCGCCAAACATCATAATCATCTCGGCTTTTAATTTACTTCAATCCTTTCTCTTTTATTGATATACTTATGATAGTTTTTCTTTATTCTGTAATTCATTATAAAAATCTATTATACTTATTAAGATAAAAATAATTCTCACCCTTAAGTCTCAAAACTTGCTATCAATAACAATTTTCACTTGCAAGGCCACCTGACACCATCAATAAGGCTCCAATAGTACTTGGATCACAACAAGATTTCCATAAGTTTTGTCCAATGATCATAGAAATCATCAAACTTTGAAATGAAAGGTGGTGCAAAATTTTAATTCACACACATTGCAAGGAATAAAATGAAAGACAAAAAAGGAAGAAAGAGGAAAGATCTTGATGAGTTCTTGATGAACACAAACAAAATCAAGGAGGGTTGCACCTAAACAATTGTGTTGTGAACAAGAAACCTAACCAGACTCATAATACTAATCGTTAGGAATTGATCAAATCCATTATTTATCATGCATACAACAAGTATATATATAGTTGTCATGCAAGTGAGGAACAATTTATAGTTGCCTTACAACACAAGTAAGTTAGTTACTTCACAAACAAATAACTAACTAACCACCTAACTGCATAATCCTATTAAAACGACACACACACACATAGGATCCCAAGTTAATCTCATGAGGGATCAAAATAAAAACTCGACCAAAGACAATGTTGAAGAACTAGGCCACAGAATTTGAACTCTCACCATTTTGTCCTCATAATCAAATTCCACTCTAACCCCATCAATTTTGCAGCATACTGGTTTTTCAGATGCAAACACACTCATCTCCCCACAGCCTCTCACCCCAATCTTGACCAAGCTTGCATTATCATCAAACTCCAGAGACTGAACAGCACCGCCGGAGTTCAGCATGTTCACTAACCCAATCGGCGCAAACTGTATCAACCTTTTTGAAAATACTTTCACCGGAGACACTGTCATTAGCTCAAAACTAAATGGCTCAAGCGAAACTTCCAATCTATCAGAACACCTCATGAGCCTCAGTTTCTTCTCCTTGAAAAAATACACAGCGAAAACATCTACACCTTTGATGTTCATTGGGGTTTTCCCATTGCACCATTCAATATCTTCGGGACTTGCATAACATGTCACCGCGTGTGAAAATTCAGACGCGCTCTTGTTTCGCCGTGTCTCAGGACACCACCCACCACCTTGGCAATTGAATAGACCCAAAACACCTGCATACTGTAATATCATTCTAAATTAGCAACTAAAAAAATCAATATCATATACTATACTAGCGTGCAAACAGACACGTGTATATAACGCACTTGTCATGTACAAAACTTGATAAGATGAAACTTACTTTGTTGAGATTCCAAATTTTGAGCATTGTTTTGCCATCATGCAAAGGATCTTCAAACAAGCAATCTCGTGTAGGGAGTGCGTAATGTTGACAACGCAAGATAGAACCGTCGGGCAAAACGAGAGATTTGAGCAACTTGAAATTGTGATTACCAACACAATCACTAACATAAATTGGTCCACCGGAGATGGCTCTTGACGCGGCATGAAATTCGGCACAAGGATGAGTGGACTGAAACATGTCCCAATCTGGATGAATGAAATTTCCCATCCATAAACTGTTGTAGGCACAATGTACCATGTGACAACCTTGGAGCCAATAAGTACCATTTGGATCACCAGAGGGATCAGAGCACCAGAAATCGTCTCCGACGCGGCCGAGGGATATGGCTTCCGTGCCGAGGAGAAAGAAGTCATTGCAATGCTCCATGCTTGCAATTACACCATTGCCTTTGAAATGTTTGTTCACTGATGAGGTTAGTGCTTTGTAGTAAGCTCTTGCTAGCTCAACTCGTCCGCCATATTCCTCTGACAGTAACTCAAGCAACTGCAAAATGCAAATAAACCAAATGTTGTGTTAAATTTTGAAATCATTTAAACATTTGATATCACACTTCTTTCGTTTAAACTTATCGTATATTTGGATTAATTTATTTGATTTTTTAAATCAATAAAGACATTTGTTTTAATATTTGAGAGAATTTATAAAAATAATTTATTACATATTCATAAAATATTATTAACTTATATCTATAAAATTTCCAAAATAGTTTTGTAATATTTTTTATTTTATTTTATCTTTTATTGTAAAATAACTTATATATAATTACTTATATAATAAATGTCCATGATATAAATGTTTTATTAAATTATCCATCCAAACAATTGATACCAAACAATTGATACATAGAACTCGCTTTGTACGACTTTTGGGCTTGACAATTTTTATTTACCCACTTATTTCTTTCTACTTTTTTAATTAACATTTGATTAATTTGATCTTATAAAATAAATATTGATTAAATAATTATATCAAATTTAGTTCGTTAAGACAATGCAATTAATAGTTTGTACTTGTCGGCTTTTAAAAGTAAATTCTACACGTTAGATTACTTGATAAAAAAAATTAAAGCTAATAGAAAAAATAAGTTTAATGTATCATTTCTAAGATGTTTTTAATTCACTTCAATGAACTTTTAACATATTTTGCAAAAACGAAATAGTTTTTTATATTTTCATTAAATATTATAAATATTTAATTAAATTGTTTATTCAATAAAAATTAGTTTTTTAAATATTTTTATTAAATATTATAATATTGAATTATATTGTTTATCCAAACAAAAATGTTGGAACAGTTTAATAATATAATAATATATTAATATTCTAATAATTAGGTGGTTAAATATATATCTTTATTATATTAGTTATTTTATCAATTATGTGTCTTTAAATAATTAACTAATCAAATAATATTAAAAAAACAATTTAAATTTTTTTTTATAAATTATTTAATTAATTAATTAAATAATTAGATATATACTCAAATATGAGTAGATATGAATAATGGAAACCCTAATTAGTCATCACACTGTATATAAACTATGGTCTCCAATATACCGTACAAAAAGCAAATTTTTTTTTTCATCTGAAAAAAATTCGAGGCATAAGGAGTATCGAAAGAGATATTTTGTTTGTTATATTAGGATTCCTATTATTTCCAAATGAATCATCCTGATATCCACTTCACTTATATTTAAATCCATACCTAATTATTTAATTAATTAATTAATTAAATTTAAATAATCTTTTTAATCTTATTTGATCAGTTAATTATTTAAAAACACTTAATTAATAAAATAGTTAATATAATAAATAAATATTTTTAACCACATAATTATTAAAATAATATATTACTATATTATTAAAATATTCCAACAAAAAATTCATCAATAAAATCAATAGAAAAATATCAACTAAAGAAATAGTAAAAATTGTCTTCGTTTTACTCTTTCCATTTTTCTGACCTAGCGACCCCTGTCCCTCCCCTCATAGGATGTTTCGATCATTTTTCATCGTTTAAAAAATAAAACCTATACGAAATTATTCTTTAAGTCAAATGAATTAAAAAAATAAGAAAGAATGATAAATATTAAAATGAAATATATATATATATATATATATATATATATATATATATATATATATATATATATATATATATATATATATATATATATATATATATATATATATATATATATATATATATATATATATATATATATATATATATATATATATATATATTAGAGAGTATTTGATTGGAACACCGGGAAAAATAGAGACAAAATACGTGATCCACATCTTTTTGAACCATTCCAAAACAATCAATATATGTGAGAGATGTAACAAATAACACAAATTTTCCTATTTTATCATTTCCTTTTCACATGAATACCTATGTTTCAAATTTACACCTTTTTGCTAAGATATATTATCATCACACCAAAATATACCAACAAATAGTAAACGGAAATAGATATAATAATCTTATATTATGAGTATTTCACTTAATGAATGTTTGAAAACAGCATAGAGTAAAATAAAAATCTAATTAGTTTATATTAGGTTATGAGTAAAATAAAAGCATAACTAATTTATATTGCGCCAAAAATAAGCTGTAATTATTTATATTAATTTATTAATTTAATTAATTACATAAATAAAAATTAAATTAATTTAATAAATAGAAATAATAACTAAAATAAAAAATAAATTAATTTTTAACTTCTTCCAACCAAATATAGTGTATCTCTCATTTGAGAAAGATAGCTCATTTGATAGCAGATTCGAACCCAAACATTCTATTTGTTTATTTTTGTTCAACATATCTAAAAAATAATTTTTTTTTAATAAATTATAATCAGAGGAATAATATATATGATCAATTTGAAGAAAAAATGAATGCACCCGAAAACAAATAAAAGAGACTTAAATTCTGAACTACTACTAAGCAATTTATGAATTTTAAAAAGTACATCCATTATGCCAACACTATGGACTAAAAAACTGTGATCCCAAATTGGCAAGGTCCTCATATATACTTAGCATGTGTAACCTTACAAAGGAGACACTTTTCACGACACCCATTTCTACCCGAGACAGGTGGCTAATTTAAACTATAGCTGCCATGCATATCTACACTCTTCTTCTTTTACTATTAATTAGACTAACAAAGATTATTTTTTGAGACTCCATGTCCATCGTGATGATGTCACAAACAAGTAGACACCGCTAACAAATCTAAGTAACCGCATTAGTAGTTGCGTTGCCGTGTAAAACTACTACTTGCTCACTAAAACAAAACGAATGTAGCCAAAAATACCGTAAACGAGTGAGAATATTTTCCACACAAAAATTGCAAAGTGTAATAAACCTTTTCATTACCGAGTAAGTTATAATTTAGGACCACAACAACAACAAAACGTCATCATTTGTAATTCTCATGCAATTCATATCCCAACGCGCCGACGCACCTACATATATAAAAATTATTACGAGAAAAATTTAGAAGACTTACGTGGATAACGTCAACTTTAACACCGTCAATTCCCGCCGACTCCAAATGAGAGTGAAGCCCGTCATACATCTCCTGGACCAAATTTGGCGGCACTAACCCCACACCATTCTCGACAATCTTATCCACCGCCAAATCCTCCATCGTCATCTCAACCCCCGGAGACAGCTTGGGAACAACAACCCTAGCTTCGGGCATACCACACACTTTAGGTCTAACCCCACCCCAATATCCACAAAGCGCGTGCCAAACATAAACACTCTCAATACTCCTAAACTCTTCCTTCAAATCCCTCACAAAACCACCCAAACCTTTATCCCCACCATTTTTGTATCCTCTAAATTTATAATTCTCTTCGTATTTTATAAGCCTGCATGGCATTTGTTCCCCGGCTGAGGTTCTGTTCATTCCTTCTTCCTCAGGATCATCATCGTGAGAAATAGATTGCCAACCGTCGTCTATAATGACGAAACCTGGAGGACAACCACCGTCTGTCAGAGCTTCCACACCTTCCCATACACCTTTTGGATGAACCTTCAAGTAAAACGCATCCCACGTGCACCAACCGAATTTCTCGATGATACTAGGTGGTGTTTTTTCTTCGAGAGTCTTGAATGTTCCTAAATGGGTTTGGATCACTTTCACTGCTTCTTTCACTAAACGGTAAGGGTCGTTGCTGAGATGGATGTATAGACAGGCTTTGAAGGATAACCCAGTGACACTGGTTGAACCGCTTTCTACGCACATGTCTATGTTATTGTTGAGACCTGGTTGGAGCGAGGTTCGGAATTTGTTTTCGAGGATTGGGAGGAGGAGAACGTAGGGTCGTCCGAGGGAGTTGTTTTTGTCGAGGATTAAGATTTGTGTTTCGTGTTGTAGTTCTTGTCCGTTGGTTCCGACCCAGTGAGTTGTCCACCAAACTTTGAACCGGAATATGCTCGTGAATTTGATTCCTTTAAGTTTGCCGAGTGGAACGACATGGTGGCTTTTGGGTTCGGTGGTGTTGAACCCAACGAAGCAACCTTGTTGTTGCAACGTCGTGGTGGTGGTGTTGTTGGCAATGGTATCTTTGTTGGATTTGAAGTTGAGAAAAGAGGAAGGAGTGGATGTTGTTATGTTAGGTGGGACTTGGGTGAGGAAAGGGTGGCCATTTGCAAGGAAATTACGTGATTGGTCTAAGGTTATGGAGAATAAGGGTGAGTTACTGATGTCGACGATGGTTATTACGTCTTGGGGGGTTGAAGTTTTGGGTATGCTTGGTGGTGCCATGGTGATTGATCGGACTCAGCTAGCTTAGTAGCTTATGACAGGGATAAGTAACTTGTACTCTTGTAGATGAGCTAGTCAGAGACTAGCTTATTTTGATGGTTAACTTGCCTATGGTTCAAAATTTGTACCTAGAGAAAAAGAAAGCCTACATATTTATAGACTTTAGTCTTGCTCTATTTATCTGTCTTTTATTTAGTGTTTATTTATGATTGAACTCCACCAATAGATATGTCAAACAGACAAACAAACAAAAAAAAAAAACTCCACTAATAGCGTAAACCGACAATAACTTCAAGTGAATATAAGAATTGGATTTTTAATTTTAAATTACTTTTAAATGTTAGGAGAATTTTGCAAATTCAAGGCCTATTAAAAAAATATTATGGAGTTAGTGTAATCTGTTACTAATTCGGAGTTAGTGTAATCGGTTATATATTCGCAATAACCTGTTACTGTGAACTTGATACGCATTCGTATTACTGATTTTACTTTTAGAGTTTTTAGTAGCGGTTACTTGTTATAGGTTTTGTGTAACCAATTATTGATATAAAACTTCAATTTTTTCAATTATTTGATGTTGTAACTTGTATTCCAATTCAACTATTTTGTGTATAAAATACCAAGAGATATTTTCATATATTGTTAATGAAAATTCATATTCTCACCCTAAAGTTTTCTTTCTTTAATTACAAATCTCTCTCTCATTCTTCACACTCAATTTATCTATTATTCACCAATCTTATAGTTCTAAGTTCTAATATTTGGTATCAAGGTCTAATTTTGATCCACAAACATCTAGTGTGCAACATGAACTCTGTCTTCAATAAAAGAATCACTGCAAACCTATTCATCGTTGATGCTAAGAATTACAACAAGTGGTGCAAACAAATGAAGGTGTTCTTTGACTACCAAGATGTTCTTGAAGTGATCAAGAACGAGGTGATTCCTCTTATCGAAGGTTCAACAGATGCACAACGAGCAACATGTAAGGAAAAGAAGAAGAAAGATTTGAAGGGACTGTTTTTTATCCATCAATGTGTGGATGGTGACAACTTTGAGAAAGTTGGTGATTGCAAATCATCGAAGCAAGCGTGGAAAATCTTAGAGAGGCCATACACAGGGGCTGATCATGACAAAGCGAAGGTGGTGAGGTTACAAACTCACAAACGTCAACTCGAATTGATACAAATGGAGGAAAATGAGACAATTAATGATTTCACAACAAGAATCACTCGATTAGTGAATCAAGTGAAGGCATGTGGAGAAACAATTACAGAGCAATATGTTGTCACGAAAATCTTGCGTTCTTTAACGCTAAAATTTAACAATGTGGTCATATCAATTGAGGAATCGTGTTATGATAAGCAAAGAGGAACTGCAAAGTTCTCTTAAGGCTCATGAGCAAAAGATGAAAGAGAGAAATAGTTATAGGTAAAGGCGAAGATTGCTTTGCAAGATCGTTTCAATGAGAAAAACAAGAGATTGAAAGAAAAATGGCCCATGAAGAGTAAAGAGAAATTTCATAATTTTGGTGGAAGAAAGTCTCAAAATTCCAAGAATTCGACTTGTCAAAGAAGAGCAGCTGCAACAAAAATGGTGGTCGAGGAAACTTTAGAGGTCAAAGGAAGAGGATTGACAAAAATAAGGTGGAGTGCTTTAATTGTTAAAAGTTTTGTCATTTTGCAAAAGAATGCAATGCGAACTAGAAGGAACCTCAAGGGGATGAAGCCAAGGATGCAAGACAAGAGTTTGATAAGGAGAACACACTCTTGCATTCTTTAACGCCAAAATTTGACAAAGTGATCATAACAAATGAGGAATCGAAAGATCTTGCAACGATGAGAAAAGAGGAGCTGCAAAGCTCTCTTGAGGCTTATGGGCAAAGGATGGAAGAGAGAAATAGTGACAGGAAAAGCCAGAGATTATTGTGCAAGCTCATTTCAACGAGAAAAACAAGAGATCGAAAGGAAAATGGCCCATGAAGAGTAAATAGAACTTTCAGCATTTTGGTGGAAAGGAGTCCCAAAATTCCAAGAATTCGACTTGTCAAAGAGTTGAGAGCAGCTGCAACAGAAATGGTGGTCAAGGAACCATTAGAGGTGAAAGGAAGAGGATTGACAAAAGTAGGGTGCAATGCTTTAATTGTCAAAATTTTGATCATTTTGCAAGAGAGTTCAATGCGAACAAGAAGGAACCTCAAGAGGATGAAGTCAGGGGTGCAAGACAAGAGTTTAATGAGGAGAACACATTATTCGTCATGATCACAGAGGAAGGATGCAGAAGTAAGAGGTTGTAGAACAGCAATAGTAGTAACGGTTTTGGAAACGCTGCAGAAACATGTTGTAACCTATTACGTAAAAGTTGTAACCGGTTACAAGCAGAAGAAAATGTCATAATGAATATGAAATGTTCAATTTGATTAAGGAATGGTATTTATACTCTGGGTGTTCTAGACATATGACGGGGAGGAAGGATTGGTTTGTTAAAATCAATCGTGCCATGAAGAATCAAGTGGAGTTCGGGGATAACACCATTCTAGCAGTCGATGGGATCGGTGATGTTTTGATTATGAAAAAGGATATAAGACATTCCTTAATTGAAGATGTATTGTACATTCCAGGAATCAAATGTAACCTAAGTATTGGCCAATTTCTTGATATGGGTTACCAGATTCACATGGAAAACAAAGGTATATACGTTATGGATAAAAGTTGGGTTTTGGTCCTAAAAGCACCTACGGATGCCAATAGAACCTTCAAAGTTGAGCTGAAGGTTATGAAGCATAGATGCCTTACTAGAGTGGCTAATAGAGAAGAGTGGATAAGGCACTATCATCTTGGGAATCTCAATTTCTGGTATCTCAATGCATTGCAAAAGAACGTAATGGTAACGTGATTGTCATTAATCAATATACCGATGAAATTTGTGAAGAATGTGTGCAAGCAAAGCAATATAAGGTTAAATTCAGCAAGGATGCAGGTTCTAGAACCAAGAATCACCTTGAGATTGTGTATTTGGATGTGTATAGACGGATGCAAGTTGACTTAATCAGTGGCAATAGATATTTTATCACATTCATCAATGGATATAGGATAAAGTTATCGATAAAATGAAGGTGAGAGAATACACAGGAAGAAGGGTTGAATTGTGTATGCCAAAATTTAAAAACTCTTTTCACTAACTGTTTCTAAACCATCAGACTCAGAACCATGTTCAAAGTATGATAATAGAGTGAGTAACAGGAGTGAAAAGCTTACTTCTTTTTCTTAACCTTATTTCAGAACCTAAGGTATCCAGCTCAGATTTTGATACAAGTAAGAGTCTGAATCAGATCTGAGTTTGACTTTAGAGTTTCTTGCACAGCGGAACATAAATGTAGAAGTAAATAAAGAGACGCACAATATATCATGGTTCCCCTCAACTGAGAGTAGTCCAAACCCCTTGCAGCATAAAAGCTTTTAACTATAATCAGGCTGATTATAATTTCTTAAGCCAACAACTCAATACTTCATGCTCAATCACCTAAAAAGAGACTTCTGCTCAAGCCCTCGAGCAAAAGACTTCTTTTCCAAAATAACCAGTTCAGGACTTCCTGCTCAATCCCACAGAAAGAGACTTCCTTCTCAATTATACCAGATCGAGACTTCTTGCTTTTCCCGCAAGCATGGGATTTCAATGTTCAATCTATCCAGATCGAGACTTCCTGCTCTGCCCACAAGCATGAGACTTTAACGCTCAATCATCAAAAAGATACTTACTCTGAGCATATAGGTTAGAGTCTTCAGGTTCTCTTAAACAGAAGAATCTGGTGTTAACCTTGTGTTTACATGTGTGCTTCTTGGTTAAGTAAATACACGGAGGTTTAAATTCTTGAGCAAAATATGAGTTATTTGCTCCTGAGTGTAGAAGAATGAAGTTTTCATTCTTCTTCTCTCCTTAGATAGATTTCCATCTCGTTGTGCCTTTCTGTTCTATTGATCATACTCACATATTCTTTCTATATAATATATGTGAATATGTCTCCCTCTACTTTGACACACTTAACCCTTCTGGTTATTTTTTAGTGTGTTTCTCTTAACTGTGTTTTCTTTGAAACATAGTTTCTCTCAACCCATTTATGTGAACTGGTATCACATCCTTGTGAACACAGTTACACACTCTTCAACCAACATTCATTTTCCTTTAGAGATCTCTTAATGTATAATAAGGTGAGCTAAAACTCAATTGGCATAAAGACGTTGAGAGCATTAGAGCAGAGGTCAAAACAGTTGGAGAGAGAAGATCCTGACAACATTATTTTATGTTGATTACACATAAATTAGTGTACCTTTGTCACGTGATCTTTTTTGGATAACTTCTAATCGGAGACTTCTTGTAGATGTTTTTTGAAGCTTGCTCAAAGTCATTGTTATATTTATACTTAGCTTCCTGAATCAGAGGTTTCTTACGGAACTAGTTAAAGAATGATCAAAAGCTAAAGTATGTTTTCAAAATATGGTTGGGATGAGACTTGAATTCATAGGTCCTGAGGTTTCCTTCAACAAAGTCTTGATCAGAACTAGTCTGGATAAACACTTTCAGAGTTGATGACTTGATGTAGACTTCCTTTGAAGCAGTATCTTCATAATTGTTGATGAAGCTTATTCAGAAGATGCAGAGTCGTTTCTTATAACAGAGTATGCTTGCTTCAAATAATTATAGTATTCAGAGCTTTGTTGATCTTTGTGTTTCAAGTAAGCTTAGGTTCAGCATCTGAAAGACTTTAGTTAACTCGTCAAAGTCTGAAAGCTTGGTTTTGATCCTTCAGATTCAGAATAGATTTGCTTCTCTTAAATGGTTTTTTAAGTGATTAACTTGATTTATATCAAGGTTAATGTCTTTTGATCCTGCACACTTAAACAACCATTAGTAATCCCTATTGTTTTTTAAATACTTTTTTTTATCATCAAAACCTTTTAAGGGTATGAACAAATATTGTTCTAATAATCTCCCTTTTTTTA